TCGAGTCATAGTATAATTTTTCGCTTTGTAGTACTTCCGCAGTGCATTTTGCATTCTATTTTACCATTGTCGAATTGGCTTGTATTGCGACCTAACAGCTGAGGTGCCTCACCTATTAGCTAACGTATATAAAGATGATCGCAATAGCTGTAGAGTCCATGGTCGAGCTGAGGAAGGACAAAGCGATCAAATGAGCCCAACGAGCATTTTGAATCAAGCAACCCAGATAAAGTATGTTTGCAAAGCGTGTGACGCGGCTTCACAAATAGCCACAGGGCGTAAGCGAGACCAACGTATCCTTGTATCAATCAAAAAACCGGTCCACACGCGCCACTTCCAGGATTTCCGTTCTTCAATCAGCTGATGGGCAAAAGTAAATGAATAATTACTCATCACCAGTGGCAAACGAATACCTTTCTGGCTAGAAGATACTATACAATTGAGGTTCTAACATGGTACCACTACGATCGTTTACCCCATATAAATAGAATGGTCCAATAATGCGTCGTAGGAGTGTAAGTTATTCGCAGATGGTTTTATCCCCAATCCTAAACAGCAACGGTATGATAGGACCCGAGTCGGTGCCGAGGAAATGGTAAGCCACAATTGTGTCGGATCTCAAATACATAAGCGGCTACCGAGTTAAAGCACCAGGGTTCAACCTGTGCTACATACACACGAAGTAGAGAGATCAGTATGAAATTGCACCCCTAAAGAGACAGACGGCCTCCCAACGTGAATTACAACAAAGTTGTTTCTGATGGCGGCACTCACCGAGGCTTCTATACGCTACTGCATGCCACCCAACTACGCACGGATGATGTCAGCTCGATTGGTGACGAAACGTTTGCAACCAAATTGCCAAGCTCAGCGAGCAGTTCAACCGCCATCGGAACAACCTGAGCTACCAGTCTTCAATTCGATAGCTAAAGTTGTTTCTGACTGCCTTACTGACACGTAAGTTCCTTGGATCAATGGAGCAAAAAGATTAAGACTTGCGGAAGTTATTTGCAGTTCTTGTCCCCTTCATCGCTTGAGGTTGCAACAATTATGCTGCCCAGTCTGCCACCGGAATTCCCAAACAAAACGTAATTTCGCAAAACGACCTAACATTCCTAATCGCATCCTGAGCAGAGACTATTCACAAAAATAATCCATGTAGCAGCAGAGTAGGTCAGCGGTAGAGGGTGCCTTGGGGACGTCAGGACAGCGATGGCTTGGGCATATGCAGTACCGACCGAACAATGCAAGCATTATTCTGCTCATTAATGTTAGTTTAGTTATTCTGAGGGTACTTGTGGGCGTTCACGGTAGTCCAAACGATCAGTTAGGACAATACCCAGAGTTGAAATCTATGTCCACCCAAAAGTGAAGCAAATAAGGTAAGTCTTTCTGAGATGGCGTCAGTTGGTGCGAGAGTTGGCCAAGTTGTGATGAAATAGCTATAACCGAATACAAGCCGAGGCAGAATAAGGACAACCAAAGAGCACTGACCGCAAAACCGGACTGCTAGGCAGTGGGGATGAAAGAGCCGTCCCCACAGGCCATTTGCACACGAAAAGAGCCAGCCGGAAGGGGCAAAAGATTGAGTTCAAAATATATATCCCCAGCAGCATAGCTTATAGGAGCAATTCTTTAGTTGACCAAAAGCATAGGTACAACGTAACTACAAATAAAAGCAATACACAATGACATGCAGTCATCAATGTGAACGAAAAGTGCGCGTTCGAAGAGATGAAGTGGTAGGGGGCTGTGCTGCACATGGTACGCGCAGGCGAGGAGACGCTTCGACTGCAGCGAAGAAATGCACCGCAAGTTCCAAAATTGTCAGCCAGTTAACTGGTATATCCTCAAATACACATGAAACGAGAAAAACTCATAACGACAAACCAAAAGTTCAAAAGAATTGGAAGCATAAGGCAGCTTCAAAGAACAATCATCTGTGTAGTACTCGGTGCAAATTCCTAAAAGCTGTGGTGATGTAGCTCTCCGAAGTTGTCAAAATTCTAGTTGGGTCTCGATCAAGAGTATTAGTACAAAATGACACGCTATTTAAATGGTACAGTAAATCATAAATACCTTGTTCCTAGTTTCGCTGATGGGCTTATGGTCGTACGATCACCGTAGTGTCCGGCGTCCTGTCACGTGGCGCGCCATGGCTTTTAACACATACGGCCTGATAATGTAGTGGTTTGCACTGACTCAGTTCCAGTGCGTGTTGTTGCTGGAGCAAGTCCGAGAGTGACCTTGTGATGATTGTTAAGGTAAAAAGATCGTTGTACCTTGCGCAGAAGTCCATTGATACTTCTTTTTCCTTTACCTTCGCGTTTGGGTTAGTATGATCCCTTACTAGATGGTTGTGAAATGAGCATCCAGTCAACTACGAGGTGTTTGCTTTCCATTACAGCTCCCCACGTACAAGCTGGACATGGAAGTCTTTGGAATCCACAACTGATTGCATACCAGTTACGGCTAACAGCCGTGCAGGCACGTCGTACGATGTACAGCTGCTGCAGCTTCTAACACCAAGGCGGGGCCCATCGTACAGAAACATAATAGTCAACCGGGTTGTATTCTCGGATTGATGACCTCTTATGTACCATTAACATGTACAGTACATAGCTGCAAATAGCACGCAGGTAAAATTCACCGATGCGAAAGGCGCACCACAATAATAAGCAGGCATACGCATAAACGCACAAAAAGTTAAATCTCCTGTCTTAAGTAACCGGCTATAGTCGATGTAACGCCGAGTATAAGAATAACGCGCGGTCATGACAAAAACCACATGATGTAGGAAAGGCATTGAACTATCGCGATGCCTGCGGATTCGTCGTGCAGCAGTCAAACTCGATCAAGAGGTGAAGAGCACGAAAGTAGTTTCCATTGGATGTAGGTGGCTTAATATGGGGCAGGTCATTTCAAATATGATTCCACCAAAGATATAGGCTACCGCCTAACAAGCATCTTGTTTCACGCAAACTAGGGCCCCAGGTACTTGGACGATTGAATGGCAATGCAGGTAGAGATGAGCCTGAGCAGCAATTTCATTCATTGTGTTCATTGAGTGGTAGAGAGCAGAAGGGAGGTCCCGTGTCAGCTCTTTCACTTCCCGATCTTCCAAGGATTGCTGGCGAAGTGGCTGTGTCACAGCTCAGGATGTAGTATCAGTCCTGCAGGATCCTGGAGTAATCAGTAGGAAGATGTCGAGAAAACGTTTAAAACTCACATCCGACTGCGCATAGACAATCGGGTCCGGCAGTCAGTTCCACCCATTAATTACTCGAGTAGAGAGAGCAACATCTGAGCGGACTTTGAACCTTCTCGGTTTAAACAGCTTCCAGCTATGACCTCGAGTCGAACTGCCAAGTCCTAGCTGAAAAAATGCCGCAGCTCGTTTCCCAGTTCTCGTAGGATACGCCTAGTATAGATGAGGTCTCCGCGACGTCAGCGATAGTCTAAGGAAAATAGGTTCATCCTCTGTAGTCGGGCGGGGTACGGGAGTTCACGCAGCCCAAGGAGAAATTTCGAGGCACGTCGCTGAATTTTTTCAATCTTGTTACTTTCATGTTTCAATAGAGGGGCTATGGCCGGAAGGCCGAATTCAAAGATGGGACGAATGTGAGAGGTGAAGAGAAGTCTAAATATTTGCGGCGGCATTTTAGAGAAGTATCTCCTTATGACGCCCCACATCCTGTTCGCAGCAGCAGTTTTCTTTAATGTGTCAAGGGTAGTTTTGAGATCAAAGAATACTATTGTCCCCAGGTCCTTTTCCTGTGTGGCAATCTTGAGTAGGTGCCGGCCAATGTGATAGATGCCCAGCGGTTCAGCAGCACCTATGGAAAGGACAGAGCATTTATCTTTGTTGACCGGCAAACCCCACTTGATAGACCAAGGGTGTAGTAGATCAAACGTTTCTTGTAATCGGTCTGCCTCTTCGAGGCAGATCTCGACCATACCTTGAGATCCTCTGCAAAAATCAGACAGTCAGTTTGTAGCATACTTGGTTGGTCATTGATATATATCTTAAACAATTCCGGTCCAAGAACGGAGCTTTGTGGTACGCCACTGTACATAGGCACCGGAAATGAAAGGGTATCGTTTACTTTGACTTGCTTCTTCCGGCCTTGCAAGAAGTCACTGATCCATAGTAAGAGGTTCCCTGTTATGCCAATTCCGCAGAGCCTAGAGTGTAGTTCTTGATGAGGGACTCTGTCAAAATCTTTGCTGAAGTCGATGAAGATCACATCTAAACGTTTTCCAGCGTCCACTGATTTAGCCCAGTTCTCTCTAGCGACCAGCAAGTTAGTGATGCAGGAATGTGCCTTTCGGAAGCCATGCTGAGTAGAAGAAGTAAAGTTCAGATCTTTGCAGTGTCGATGGATGGCACATTTAATGAGCTTTTCTATGATCATGCAGGCGACCGACGTCAAGCAAACTGGCCGATAGTTCGCAGGATCCTGGCGGTTTCCATCCTTGTATTTCGGCATAATTGCACCCGTTTTCCAATCAAAAGGTAGTCGACCAGCTTTAAGAGAGAGCTGAAAAAGTTGACAAAGTGGGTCGGCAATGAATTCTGCTACCATCTTGAGAAAATGGGGATGTATCCCGTCTGGGGCATGGTGAGGAAGATGAATTCAGTTCTAATAGTGGCTTCAAGGTAGCACCTGCAATCTATATCGATATGTTCCAGAGGTACTGGATGTGCAAGTACATGAGGTGTTGCGGGTTTGTCTCCATTCGAGTATACAGGAGAACTGAAGAGCCAAAAGGTCAGCTTTGGCGTTATCAGCACAGTTTACTATACCTGGCTCATGCAATGAAATATGCACCGCACTTATATTGCTTTAAACAATATTCAAAAGCTTACGTGAGCGCAAATCACCAACAAAAATGAAACAAATGATAATAATAAGTAATAAACCCGCAATAAATGTAAACTCAACGAACGGTCGTTGGCACTATCCGCCTAGCTGACAGGCAAGTAAACAAGAGGTTACCTTTTTTTCTTCTCAGCAAACGCTGCAGCATCAATTTGCACAGTATCCTGACAACTAGTGTCATTTTCCGAGGTTTCTTTCGTTTCAAATGCGGATGTTAGTTCATCAAGATCAAGCCCGAAGTCCACGGCCATCAGGCGTTTCCTAGTACAGCCAGGTCAGGTCAGGTCAAACGGACGATAGTGGCTTTCGCCTAACGAGCGTCCAGTTTCTTGTGCCGGTAAGTGAAGCGGTCCCGGCACTTCGACGTTGGATTGAGTTCTTGCTTCTGCAAAGGAATGAAGCAAAAACAAGAGCAATCTTTGCACTTTCATGTGTCAGCACCAAAATACAATACATATTCTAGTACAACTACAATATCTCTGGAAAAAGGATAGACCAACAATCGTCTAAGCCCCTTTTAAAGGCTTCTACATACACACACTCCACTAACTCAGAAGGAACTTTATTCCCGAAGTTAACTACTCAGTTCGTAAAAAACTTTGCCCTGATGTCCAAACGAGCTCTAAGTTGTTTGAGCTTCAGGCGATGCCCCCGCAGATGGTCTGACGTAGCCAACTCAAACAGATGGGTGGGACTAATACCACTATGTCCCTTAATGGTCTTAAACGTCTCTATCAAATCCCCTCTCAATCTACGCCGCGCCAAGGAAAATAATCCCAAGCTACTTAGACGATCTTCATACGACTTCCCTCGTTGACCTTCGACCAGCCTGGGCGCAAGTTTCTGAATCTTCTCTATACAAATGACGTCACTCCGAAGGTACGGTGCCCAGGCCTGAACACTACTCCAGATGTGGTCTAACCACTGCTTTATACAACGGAAGAATACTTCTGCTTTAGTGTTATTCAGCGCCCTCCTAGGACAAAATAACTCTTGACATGCTTTATTGGCAGCATGGCGACACTGTGCCGAAGATTTAAAATTGTTCACTACCATGACACCTAGATCGCGAGCTTAATCAGTACACCGCAATGATAGACGTTCTGCAGGAGACTGGACTGCAATTCCGTTGCCAATTTTGGGAAATAGTTGACATTTAATGGCATTCAGAGGTAGATCCCATTGGTTCGACCAATTCACCGCATTGATGTCCTTAGCTAATGTCGCTCGTTTTCCTCTACTGACTAGCTTCCGGTTATCTGCGAAGATATAGCAGGGATCCTCAAGAAGAGGAGACAGGTCATTTATAAACATAAAAGACATCAGCGGACCCAGTACCGAACCTTGGGTGCACGGCTGTATGCACGGCCAACACTAAAACTCGCTTCCCCAACCCTGAATCTGAATGTCCTTCCACGTATGTATTCAGAGAGCCACAGTAATATTTGAGGATGCAATCCAAAACATGTCAGCTTCTCAATTGAAATCGATGTGTCACTGAATCAAAGGCGTTACTGAAGTCCAAATATCACACCTCTATGGACATCCCACCATCAAGACATCGAGTACTCACGTCTAAAAACATTTAATTGGTAAGACAACACTTCTTTTTATGAAAGCCATGCTTTTCCGCTCTAATTAGATTGTGCTCAGTCAGGTGCTCACAGATCCTATTTTTTATAAGCTTTTCCAAAAACTTACGCATGATGCTGGTCAAACTAAGAGGTCTATATTTAAAAGGCGCCGACGTAGAACCCCTTGTTGATGGCAACAATAGTGGCCTCCTTCCAATCACGTGGCATTTTGCCTTCTTGCAGCGACTGATTGAATAACGCCGCTACAGGATACTGAAGTATTTCAGCAAGAGGCTTAACTATGGCGGGAGGTAGACTATCAGGACCAGCTGATTTATAAGGGTTCAAACTGGGCAGCACTGTGAAGAACTCTGGCGCATTGAGAATAATTTCCCGCACTGTATAGCTATTTGAGCAATGCGACTGTGATGGCAAGCCTGACACACTATCCGTCCGATATAATTTTTGGTAGACACGTAGTAGCGTTTCTACTTTATCAACGTCGTCTATAGCCTGGGTACCGTCCTCCATGGTTAGACAGCCGAACATCTCTCTTAGAGAAACCTTTGGTTGTAAATAACTGTAATAACAATTGGATTTGTTTTCGTAAATTTGGCCAACTTAAGCTCATATGAGTATTTCGCCTGCAGCTGCAAATTAATAGCCATGTTTCGGCACCTTTATTATTTCAGCCAACGTCGGAAGCCACGAGTTTCTTGATATTTTCTCCACTCAGCATTGCGCCTCTTTATCGCTCTACCAATCTTTCCCCTCCACCATCGGGTTTTCCCAAAGTTTTTCCTGGGGCGTGCAGGAGCAAGTTCGTTCAGTAACGGTACAAGTCCAAGGTTGAGTAGAAACCACCTCTGTTCCAAAGTGGCCTGGTCCTGTTCAGGGATCCAAGTGATTTGAAGGGTTCGATCCCGCAACTTCGTATAATCAATAAGATTTAAATCTCTTCCCATTCGACGGTTCTCTGCAAGTCTCGGTGTCTCCAGCGAAGTGGTCAAACCACAGTGATCACTCTTACCTATAAGTGGCTACACGCACAGGTCAATCAATTGACCATGCCTGGCGCTCACGATATCAAGGGTTGAAGAGGTACTCTCAGTGCGACTCCTGGTCCGACGTATCGTTAGAACTCAGTTACCTACATCCAACCTACTAGTTCCTTCTCTATAGTACCCGCCCTGTTTTTCACAAGCTGCTAATAAGCACGGAAAAGCTGTAGGTCACCGACGATCAGAGAATTAGGTGCGACCATTGCCGCATGTCTTAGTAACGTACCAAGGTCCCTGTCCTCTTCTCACGTAGAGGATGGGCTACGATAAACACATACCATACTTTCCAATCTACCCCATGCTCTTAGGCAGCAGGATACCACTTGAACCTTAGCAGAACTTATGATAAATGGAGCCTCCCAGTGATTATATTGGAACTTTATAAGCAAGAGTACTCCTGAACTAGTCTGATACCCGGCCTGTCTGTCCTGTAGCACGAGAAGTCTATAAGCAGGCCACCAATAAGGTCATCTGGAGAAAGCCAGGACTCCGACGCAACGGCCACATCAACCTGCTCAAAGTAGTTGCACGGACGATTGTGTAGTACGCAATGTTCCGAGTACAGGCCACAGCAGGGCCAGTGAACTGAAAAAGTGGGAGCTAATGGTCCCTTTGGTTTGATGCGCGAACGGTTCACAAGAGCACAGCAGAGGCGGTAACTCGATTTTCGGGCGTTCCATACTGACTCGATATTTAAGCTGATATATGGTAAACGGTGTTTTAAGTTCCGTTGTGACCGGAAAGATAAGAAACTCCGAGGAATGTTCTTTCCTTTGCGTATTGTTGGCTCGGGAATTGATAGTTCTGCTTAAGATGTTGAAAAGACTAAAACAGAGACCGCATCACACCCTGTCCAAACATTTAGTGCCCACCTTTTCCCTGTAAGCCGGTTTATGTGAAGCAAAGGAGTAAAAGGTATGCTGAGGAAATAAGAGGAATGTCAGCTGAATACTGAAAATACGAAGGTGTGAGAAGAACTTAAAAGGAAACGAACGGATAGTTGAAGATACAAGTGGGTAATGAGAAGGGGAAGCTTTGGTACTACCACCCAAGAGCATCTAACCGACGCTCGAAATCCTGTACCGTAGACTCCCTAACGACGTGCTACGGAAGCAACTTACAACGTTCAGTACGCCGGCGCGACAAGCAAGCTTCCGTCCTTACGCGGTCAGAAGGCCGTTTGTGCAGCTTCAACGGTTGACCTCGGAGACTATGCAGTTTGGCGAAGCTAAATAGGCAGGACAAGTCCGGACCGGGCTTACCCGTTAGGATAGGGTAAGTAGTGAATTGAGTACATGCCCAAACTAAGCAAGCGTTTGGGATACGATTGCCAATGTAATGCTTGCACTACCCTTGTAACCACTCGCAAAACCTTCTCCAGTTCCATTTTTCCCTTACAAGACAAGATGGACAAGCCTGCATAGAATATCCTAAGTTGGGTCGCACAAAAGCTGAGAACAGCTTCACAAAGTTAGCAGCCATTAGGACATCGAAGGAGCGGCGAATAACCCATATCCTATGGAACCCACTACGAGCAGCCTTAATCTAAATGTCCTCAGCCTGAAGCCCTGAGGTATGGGCAATGCCTAGATCAAGCTGCCGAGGGACGACAGGAATTACACCTCCCCCAACTACATAGCGTTTGGGGGAATAACACCACCAAGGCGGAGGACAGATCATTTCGCCTGCTTTACACATATCAACCATAAGTTTGACCAATCCCAGCGACCATCCAAGGCGCTCTGAATTGCCCCAGAGCCACCATGGATATCCACAATATTCCATGGCTTGAGGTCACCAGCAAACAATAACCATGGTAGATCAAGCTCCTGCGATAGGTCCTTGACATAAATTGCGAAAAGCAGCTGTCTTAGAACCGAGCCCTGCAGAAGGCCAATAAGAACAGCTTGTCGAAGCGAAAGGCTACGTCCTACTCGTACACACTGTTCTCTCCATTCGAGGAAAGCAGACACCCAGTTACGGGCGGCTCGGGATATCCCGTACGATCACAACTTTAATGAAAGTCGTTGCTGTGGCACAGTATCAAATATCGAGAAGGCAACGGAAAGCCCGTCCATAGCATGACCACTGTCTACTGTCACAGTCCAGCTTTTCCGGGCCGCAAGTAACTCTGTCAGACAAGAAAACCTCTTACGGAATCCTGCTGTGCCGCACTGAGAATGTTAATCTTAAGCAGATGCTTCTCCACCGAATCCCTGAGCAAGCTTTCAACCACTAACTACGACGCTTGTCAGGCTGACAGGCCGATAGTTTGAGGGCAGAACTCTATCACTGCCCTTAACAATCAGACAGATGATTACCTCTTTCCAGTTCGAAAAAAGGCACAGCTCTCCCGCAATATTTCAAACAACAATGTCAGAGGGCCACAGCTCAGCTGACGGTTCACGCATCAGCTTCGGGTGACTTGAATCGGGCCAGAAGCTTTGGAAGGATTTAGCCCTCGCAATAGCCCGGAGGCTTGTCTCTACCATAAGCTGATTTCAGTTGGGCAAGAATCCTCCAACACTTATGCGACCAGCTAAACCTGAGGTAAAAATGCCTCACGCGAAAGGACTCCAGTATAATGTAGGCTTAGTATACAAGCCTTATCGTAGT